GGCTTGGAATTTTTCCAGAGGATCCACCGGGCACTTTGGCAGAGGCCTTGGCTGCATAGGCATGTGGCCTGGCCCAGATTGCTCCTATGTGGCTCTGGTCCCAGGCCCAGGGTTGATGTTTATTTGTTCAGTGGCCCCTGTTTTGTTTTGCTGTTTTGGTATTAATTATTTTAGTCTGGGCTGCTTGTGATTCAATATTTTTAGCTGTTTCTATGTTTCCCCTGGTTTTGTATGCCACCCTGAGTCTACTGGAGTAAGGTAGCCAATGAATTTAAACAAACAATAACAATAATAATAATAATAAAAAAGATATGGGGCTTTGTTTGGACACGCAGACATCTTGACTTCTCTCACCCCTCCTTGTGGCTGCTGCTGAATTAGATCAAAGATGTTAGTTGTGACCAAAGGAAAAATATATGAAAAGCATAGGCAGTAATTATACAATGTCATACTGCATTTGATGCAATTTGATATTTAGTTCTATTTAAATTAAACAAAAACTTACATATTTTTCTGGATCCCTCCACTTTTTAGAATGTGGCCTCACTTAAGATCCATAATATTCTAGACCTGAAAAAGATTTGCATATGATTGAACTAAATCTGTTTTTCTAAGGAAAATGCATCTCTTCTCTAAGTGCGGTGTGATTGGAAAGTACTCTTGATTGCTTTACCAATTGTTCCTAATATTTTTAATCTACCACAATTTTCTTTTATTGTTCCTGCTTTTTCAGCCTCTTTGATTTGGGGTCCCTGGTATTCAATTTTGCAATATGAATTATGAGTTATCTTAAAACTTCTGGAGGGAGGTAGATAGAGATAAACATATGGATGAAAAGTATTGAAATGTGAGTGGCATGGAATTCTGAAATGGTATTGACAAAGCAAATATTTGATAAATGCTTTTATTTATCTAGCAATAAATGTCGTTGAATACAAAGGGATTACCTCCAAGTAATACTGCTCCAAATTATCCACAGTGGTATTGATATTAGATCAGGTTGAAGAGAGTTGAAGGTCTCCCTGTGTGTTTGCATTCTGGGTAACCATAAAGGATAATTTTGTTTGCCCAAGAATTGTATTTCCTGGAATTCAAGGAGCTCTAGAATCAAATTGCCTTTTCCCCCAATTTCACCATTGAAGCTTTTTCTACTCCTTTTTCTTAGTTGTTCCCACGGCGGTGCACATGGCTGTATGTTATCAACAACACTTTAATGTCACTCTCAGGTATGTATATTGCTGAAGAAATGTCTCAAAAAGTTCAAAAGATGGGGGTGGAAAATTTCAGTGTACTGAATTTAAACTTTTGGTAAATCTGTGAAAATCATCTCTCTTTAATTTTTTCCCTTTCATTCTGCAATTTGCTTGGACCTATGGATACTTGGGGGCTATCCTTTTAGAAGGTAATCTTTTTCTGCTCTATAATTTTCCTTCTCCTTTTACTTGTTCGTTTATTTGTTTTTGCAATATCAGTTTGATATGTAAGTCTGACACAGATCAAATATCATCTTGTGTTATAGGGAAAACATTCCAGCTCTACTCCCATAACCTAATAGCTTTGTTTGAACAAGCCAAAAAAACAGGAATAGCTGCTCATATTCAAACCCACCGATTTCCTGATAAAATACTACCAAGGTATGGTAATCTTGAGGTACAAGTTTTTGCTATTTTACCCCAGGCCTTTATCTGGCTTGCTTGCTATTGCTGATCGTGACAATATTTTCCATAAGCTGTTGCCCTTTGTGAAAGTTCATAGAAAATTGTTTTTGCTGCTTCTAGGTTTGCAGATACAGAAGGGTATCTGTAACGTTCTATAATATTATAATAGAGAGAGCCAGTTTGGTCTAGTGGTTAAGACATTAGGCTAGAAAGCAGGAGGCTGTGAGTTCAGGTTCTGCCTTAGCCACAAAAGCCATCTGGGTGTCTTTGGGCCAGTCACTCTCAGCTCAACCCATCTCTTAGAGGTTGTGAGGAAAATAGGAGGAAGATGGGTTTGATATGTTCACTGCCTTGGGATGTATGTGAAAATAATAAAAGTGGGATACAAATAAATAATTGATTTCAGGAAAATGAAACATAAAGATGTTTTTATATTTATCTTTTATAAAGATAAATGTTATGGTGTGGGACCCAAAGACTCTATAATTCATGAAAAGCTGATGGATTGCTAAGATTTTATTTCAAGAATTTTCTCCTCCTTTTGAAAGCAAGGCAAGCAAGTCAAAGAGACAGACTGTCATGATAGTAGCACCAATTGAACCCTTCCAAAGGTTGCCTCTTGCCCTCACCGGTTCCTTTCAGGCCCCCAGGGAGTTCTTTTTATTTGAATAACAAACCTTAGCTGAATTGCATTCTGTAACGCCTGTTTCATCAGCTAGATTCCCCTCCCCTCCCCTCCGCTCATCTGCTTGTAAAGTGGTTCATTCTGTTGCTTTAGCTTTTCCTTTTTAGTGATTTTATTCACATTTAATTTATTTGTGACAATTGTCCACAATTGTGGAAAGTTTAGGATTAATTTCAGAATAGAAGTTGCTCGTATAGGTTTCACTTACATTGGGGCATTTCTCTATAGAGCTTGACATTTCTCTCTCTCTCTCTCACACACACACACACACTCACAAACAGACACACACTCTCTCTCTCTCTCACACACACACACATCTTCACATCTTCTTTTTTTCAGTTCATTCATTTTATCCTAAATCAGAATTGAGAGGCTTTCTGGTATCTTGGGATGGAGGCTAGGCAGAGCACTAGAGATTAAAGAATCTGTTTAAAATAACTTAATATATTTTTTATTTTCATTCCCAACAATAACCACAATTGTCTAGTATGCATTATCGAACTATTTTTTTTATTCCTCAGCTTTTTTCTATTCTCATTTTTTTCTTTTTATACTTTGTCGGTTATAGAATAGAAACTTTTTCTATCAAGTTACCTATATGATTCATTGCACTATGGCATGATACCTTCTTAAGTGTATAAAGTATACAATACTTGATAAAATAAAATAATGTAATTGTTGGCAAAGTAAGTACAAAGGTCTCAAACAAAAAAAATTAAAGATTTTTCCAAGAGCTCAGGGCATTTTGTGGAAAGAGGCATGTTCCCCATAACAGCAATCATTTAAGGTAGGTTGGGCTGAGGGAAAGTCATTGGCCCAGAGTCAGAGTCTGGACCAGCAACTTAACTGCTAGGCCACACTGGCTCTCTGTTGTCAAATTACTTTAGGAAAATAATTATGCAGTTCTTTAAATAAAGTAAAGGACTCTACTGTGTTGATGCTGCAGAAGATAACAGAGTAGATGGTATTCACAGATGATAAAGCATTGTTGAATGTTAAATATTATGGCAAAGAGCCATTAAAACAGTTAAAGGGTATTACAGAATGTGATTAAAACTATTAATATCTTTGTTGGGTTACACAAAGGATATTGTTAAGGTAAAGGAAAAGGAAAATGGTTTTATGTTCTTGATGACTGCTAGAATTGAATTGCCACTAGGTGAAAGTCAGTAAGAAGAATATAATAGTGACCAATTGGATGGATACAAGAAAGATGGAATTGTTTTTTTACTGGATTTATACCCACTTAAGAGAATTTTTCCCTGTGTATCTGGAACTTCAGAAAAAGACAATTTGAGAAAGCAAAGAAGACTAAAGATAGATTTGAAGAAGGAAAAAGAATGATATTCTGAAATGCCAAATGTGGGCAGTTTATTTTTTTAGAATTTAATATTTCTGGAGAATGTTAACTATTAAAACAGTATATATAGTTTTCCTGTACCATGATTTGCTGTTGTGTATTTTATACATAAAGTGTTGAATTTCTAGTAGTCATTGGAGTTCAGGAAAAATTGTTCCTGAAATTTCTGGGGACAATGTTAAACTGAAAATAACTCTGCAAAAGTGGAACAAATAGCTGGGACAAAGACCAAGGAACTGATGAATAGATTGATTCCTTGGAACCTCTTTAGATAAGGAGAGGATGGGATATTACCCACATGTATTCCAGACAGTTGCTCCTGGCAAGGAGACTGAAGGGCAGTGATTTTCCACACATTTGACCACCAGGAGACAATGTGTTCAGCCATCTTGCTCACAACTGTGACAGAGCCTCTTAAAGGATACTAAGTTCATAAAACTCACTTTCTAATCACCTTCAAAAACTACTCATTTGCTACTTCTAAGCTACTAGAGACCTTCTGAGTCCCCTTCAGGGGAAAAGGGCAGCATATAAATATAATAAATGAAATGAAATGAACAAGTTTAAAACATGGTTAAACTAAAATGTGTTGTTATTTTGACTGCCCTTTATGGACTTTCTTCTGATACCAAAACTGAAAATACTATGTTTTATGATGTATTTATAGATAAGAGATAGGATATGAGATGAGGGGATAAATGTTTGTAACTTTAAAGGGGGTGAAGAGTTACTAGATTTGTTTTTACTTGTGATGAAGTTTGGAAGTCAATCCTTTATCTATACATACATTTTTTTTATTTTTACTTTTTTTCTCTTTTTTCTTTTTCCTTGTACTTTTTACTCATCTCTATTCTCTTCTTTGTATAATTTAGTTTGCATAAGATTTTATTACTATAAGCAAAGTATTATATATTAAAATTGAAGCTCTTTTTCTGTTAATAGAAGAAAGGAGTGTACATAGGAAGAAAATCCTACAGAAAAAAGACTATTTTAAGAAAGTCCACCAAAATGTTACAAAAAACAAAAGCTGATATTAGGAGATAATGGCATCCTTCTCCATAATTTTTCTATTTTGTAAATACATGCAGTTGTATTCAAGAACAGTTACTCCATTCCTGTCAGTGTTTTAATATTCTTTTAAAGCTTAAAAGAAAAATCTGTTGAAAATTATTTTTTCATGAGGCCTCTGACCTGTTCTTAACAGTTGGCTCTGTTTTTCCCCCCAGAAAATTTGCCGTAACAACAAAGATTCCAGATACAAAAGGATGCCACAAATGTTGCATAGGTGAGTCTTCACCTTGAGTTGATATCCTCAGTTCAGTTTACAAGGAATCTTCCAGTTCTACCACTCTACAACTCACAGTGCCCTTCTGAGAGTGATAGTTTTCACATATGTTGGACTATAATTGTCTTAATTCCATCCTGTGTGACTGCTCTGATCAGAAATATTAGAATCAACAGGTTGAGATTCCATGCAAGTATAAATTGCTCAGGCTTAATCTCTCAGATTAACAACATGAAACATTATGTATCAAAAAGTAAATTATGCCATGCACATACACATAGTAGAGGGAGGTTTCCCAGGCTGTATATAAATAGACATTCATATATTTCAGATTTAGTATTGCTTTTTGGTTTTCCATTGTAGTCCAACATATACATAAAGTTTTGATTTCCATGATTTAATACACCAATTGGGAATTATAATTCTGACACAATTCAGAATGCCAGTTTCTAGCCAGCTGTTCTGATTTTTCTTAATAATAATAATTTATTTGTCAGTGCACAACTTATGTACAATGAGATTGATTGAGCTCCCTCAGTGCACCCCGAAACACAATACAACTGACAGTGAAGACAGAAAATCCCTAACCCAATAAATCATATTAACAAACACCCAGTCCTATTGCACCAGTGTGAACATGTTACATGTTGCGCTGGCCCTGCAAGACCATCGTACTATGTAGTTATGATGTAATTTCCCATTCAGGAGTCTGACAGCCCACAGATAGAAACTGTTCTTTAGCCTGTTTGTGTGGGTGGCTGTACTTCTATATCTCTTTCCCGATGGTAGGAGGGTAAAGAAGTGCTGTCCAGGGTGCGAGTCGTCCCTGAGGATTTTCCTCACTCTTCCTCACTTCCCCTCTTGTCCTGCAGGCAGACCAGCAATAAAACATCACAATGTCTTTCCTGATTTCCCAGAAAAATATGAATGCTGAACAATTCTTCAGCCGAATCATATTTACTTTCAGTTTACCAATGAAGGAGAATATTTGTAGTTCATGGTTGGAATGAGGAGTGCTTGGTGCTCTCTAAGCTTGGTTGGTTTTTTTGCAGACTTTTCATTGCCCTAACTAGGTAACAGCATGAATGCTAGTGCAGACTAGCACTGATAATGTTACCTAGTTTGGGTAATGAAATGTCTGCAAGAAAACAACCAAGCTCAGGGAGTTACCCCTACTTTTAGTATACATTTCACCATCGTTGTACGTGGCATTAACAAGATTGAATGAAAAAGGGGTCGGCCAAGTCAGCTGTATATGCTTAGGTTTATTTTTCAGTGAGGCAAGAAAGAGAAATTTCCGGTATGTCTGAACTACAATACCCATCCCAATCCTTCACAATTGGCTATGTTGAGCGTGGTGGTTCTGCAAACTTTGAAGTGCATAGGAACTGCAGTAGATGTAGACTGGGGGATCTTGATTGAATCAATAATGTTAACAAAAAGTATATCTCTGTGGAAATGCAACACCACATGATTCTTCTAGGATGGTGTTGCAGGCATAGGAGAATAGTGATAAATGATTCGTTTATGATAAATCATAATATGAATTCAAGCAGAGGGCAAATTATTATAATCTATTATGATTACTTCACAATTCTTTTCTTTTTCCTTCATTAGTAAGAAACCCATATACAGGCCATAAATATCTCTGTGGAGCTTTGCAGTTGGGAATTGTTTTGCTTCAGTGGTATGAACCAATGCAGAAATTCATGTTAATAAAGGTAAGCTTGCCCCCTACCTCTCTCTTGTATTTTGGCAACCCTTTGAAAGGAATCTTCCAAAAGTAGAGTTGCACTGTTAGAATTTTGAAGTAATTTGAGATTTCAAATGAGTTTGGATCTAAAGTAGTATTTGAGCTCAGTTTAAACTGTTGGTCTATGTTTAAATTTGAAAAACATCAAGGATAAATTGGCAATTTGTTTTTTGGGGACAAAACGGAATAGAAGAGCTTATCAAATAAAAATCCTCGGGAAGTTGATCCATAAAAGTTCATTCGAGAACATGTTCAGAGAAATGTTTTAAAAGTGCATAGGAGTTTGTATGCTGCTTTATATTTGTTGTAATATTGTATATGGATTTAAATTGAATACCGTATGTAGGTTACTTTTTAGATACAAGTCAAATAATGCTGGAATGAATAGATACATTCTAAGTATGCATACCTTAAAATATACAAGTTATACTTTATTTAGATTTTTTAAAAAAAAATATCTTCATCCTCCAGCACTTTGATTTCCCTCTGCCAACACCACTGAAAGTATTTGAAATGCTGGTGATCCCTGAACAGGAATACCCTATGGTATGTGTTGCAATCAGCAAAGGGGCTGAACCAAATCAGGTTGTACAGTTTGAGACAATCAACTTGAACTCTGCTTCTTCGTGGTTTACAGAAATTGGTACAGGTGAGTCTCTGACCATGTTTAATTTAATTTTGTGTACTGTCTGTATTCAGTATTTGCAAAATATTCTGTTTCCGGATGTGGAATGTTTTCGGAAACATTTTATATTTGTTTTGGAGCCAGACCACCGCAAAACACTTCCTGTTCCAGAAGATTTTTTACCTAGAAAACTGCTGGACAGCTCTCAGAATGGCTAGGTTGGCATGCTGCAGAAGAAAACTAGAACATTCTAGAATGCTTCAGAATTTTCCATTTTCTGAGAGATACAGTACAACATTTTGTGCATACCTAGTTTATCTGACTTTCTTTTTGCTAAAATCCAATTTGTCTAAGGCAAAAATGGAATAAAGATAGGATAAAACCTGAAAACAGTACAACCCACAATTTAATAAACAATAATCCTATATTGGTAATCAATCAGCAGGAGGACTGTATATTTAGAAATAAGAGCCATGGTGGTGAAGTGGTTATGAATATGAATATGAATATGAATAGCAGTAGACTTATATACCGCTTCATAGGCCTTTCAGGCCTCTCTAAGCAGTTTACAGAGAGTCAGCATATTGCCCCCAACAATCTGGGTCCTCATTTTACCCACCTCGGAAGGATGGAAGGCTGAGTCAACCCTGAGCCGGTGAGATTTGAACCGCTGACCTGCTGATCTAGCAGTAGCCTGCAGTGCTGCATTTAACCACTGCGCCACCTTGGTTAGAATGCAGTACTGCAGGCTACTTCTGCCAACTGCTGCTGCCTGTAATTTGGCAGTTTGGGTCTTACCAGCTCAAGCTTCCATCCTTCCGAGGTCGGTAAAACAAGGACTCAGATTGTTGGGGGCCATATGCTGACTCTGTGAACTGCTTAGAGAGGGCTGTAAAGCACTGTGAATCAGTATATAAGTCTTAAGTGCTATTGCTATTTGTATATAGATTACAAGCCATCACTCTAGCCTATATTTAGAGGGTACTTAATTGGAAAGGGCTGATATGAACAGTTGGAACTATTTGACTCCTCAATGTATGCAAGTTCTATTTTACTGGTATTCCAGATTTGAACCTGAAATAACAACAGTGAAGGATTGCAGGAAGCCAGCTTGTTCAAACTATTCTGGAAAATAAGATACTCTGGCATAGACATCTGTTACCAGTCATGATCATATCAAAATTAATGACCCATATGTCATATGTTGATAGCCACCTGCAGAAGCCTTTCCTTCTAAGATGAATCCTTAGTGTTCTGCAGTGAAACAAGGACAGTAGGCTGTGGGGGTTTTTTTTTGACAGAGGTTGAATTCCAACAATGATCCCTAATCAAAGAAACTTCATAATAGAAGCAGATGTTCTACAGGATGCATCTAATGAACTGAGATGCAGTTCAGGAAACCTTAGTCAGAAAAGCTGCTACCAATTTCCTCTTTTTTTTTTTTTTTGTCCTTATAGACACTTCGCTCCCTACAGTGTTCTATGAATGTTTAACAGGTCTGTGGTTTAGGATCGATGAGGGAACAGATTTCTGGGACAATAAAAGCACATTTTGTATGGGAGAAAGAAATGAGGGGAACTCAAAGGTCACAGAAAGATTGCCTTTGTACCATTATGTATTTATTAAATGCATATGTTGCCTATCAGGTGCCTATCAGTGACAGCCTAATAAAGGAAGCCTTTCCTTTCCTTCCCTTTTCTTCAGAACAATGCTTCTCCTTACAATGTTTCCCTTTTAATTTCTTGCTTCTCTCCTCGCATTCTCAGTGAATGAGTGGAAAGTATGTTATTACCTGCAACGTCCTTTTAAGGCTTCTCTTGTAATCCAAGATCAAGGGCTCTTGGCCTGCCACATGTTACCTACATAATACACAATTGGTTGCTTCTAAAATACTCATAACATGCATAATTCCTGCTTGCAGCATTAAGTATTGGCAGTGCTTCTAAACTGTAATTCCCATCAACCTCCCTTCTTGGCATTATAATCCAACATCATTTAGACAATTTATAATTCCTTACCCCAGTCCTAAACTTTGGTAAGAAGATGGGGGGATTAAAATACTACTCTAAAAATAATCTGAGCTGAAGATTCCCTGAAATTGAATCTTTTTATTTTTTTTCTTACTGCTTTTTTATTTCAAAGCAACTTAAATGGCTTCTAATGTAGTAAGCTGAATGTGTATTAAGTTTTTGGTGCATTGAGGTTTTGTATACTGACTAATCGCTCATTTCCCCCAAAGGTTGTCAACAACTTGATGCCATCCACGTGACTCAGCTGGAAAGAGATACAGTTCTTGTGTGCTTGGACAGTAAGTGGATGGGATTCATACCCTGTCTAAAAGAAAATAGGAAATGGGGCATGATATATGACAGAAGGAATAAGTACCTCAAAGGAAGAGAAGATATTATTAAGAGTGCATTCAGTTTTATCTGATGCAGAAAAATATCACAGTAGACATCAGACATGTGGCATTTTGGTGGTGTTATTGAAAAGGCCTTTCTTTTAGTGCTTTGTCTGATCCTAGAAATGGAGGCCTGCAAAGAAAATCTCTTTCCAATGCTTCTAATTGAAAAACCTCTTCAGATAGGGAAGGTTCACTCTCAAGAAAAACTGAACGCTTCCCTTCTCTACTGCTTCTAGCATTAGAAGCCATTCTGTGTAAATTAGACTAACAAAAGGATAGTTTCAAGCTCAAAGAAGTAGATAGATACTTAGATAGATTAGATACTTACATAGATTTCTCACGAGGCTTCTGAATTTATTTATGTGGATTTATTTATGTTATAGCTTTTATAGAATATCCCAGTCTGTTCACTCTGGCCAAATTTTCAAATTGCTGAAATAGATTTGTGCAATTCTCTGCTTTTAGCCTCAGTACCCCTCCTTCCAGCCTCAGAAATTTGAGGCAGTGTTTGTGACATCTTGGAATGACAGCACAAACCACTAAGCTTTTTGACAGTCTCTATTGTCTGTATAGTACTACATGGGTACACAATGTATCTTTCATCATTTGATGTCCTGCAGACTGGATGCTAACTAGGCCCAATGCCCATATTTGCTATTCGATGTAATAAAGTCGTAGACATGTAGTAAAGCCAAATGTATTGCTTGACACTTTCGTTGTGAATATTTCTTCAGCAAAAGCCCCCAAGTGGTGAGAAACAGGAGTGACTCCTAAATCATTGTTACAGCAAAAGTTTATATTTTCCAAGATTTGATAAATCTTTTCTGACCCCCAACAAATTAATACAGTATTGTAGCTGTTATAATTTTTAAAGAATAGAAAGCAAGTACAGAAAGGAGAACAAAGAGATTGTGATACAGTGAACTGCACCTGTTCTGAAACTATTAATCTGAAGATGTCTTAATCACTGATGTCTCCATCATTCTTAGTTGTGTCTTTAGCATCATTATGTCAAAATTAAACAGAGCTATACAACCCACTATCTACCAAGAAGCTTCCAAAGTTTTTCTTTTAATATGACACGTGGCAATTAATTATATTATCTCTGTTTCATCTGTGCAATTTACTTTTAATTACAAATCAGATTTAAGTTTTTTTTTTAACATTTGAATTTAAAGTTAGTTGGAAAAAGTCTAAAGAGTTTCTATAAATAATCTACATTGAATTCAACAGAGTCTTAAAACGGGGAATTTAAATATTTTTTAATATCAGTAAAATTCAAACCATGTCTCTTGAAAAATCTGTCCAGTTGATTTGACCTTAAACTGAGTGAGGCTGACTGAACCCTAGAACAGAAAGTAAAATAAAATTCTAAGTTCTTCTCCTTTGCTTTTGAAGGCATGCTTTGAGCCTTTCTGGCACTGAGATTCTTTTATTACTATTATATTGTTTGCTTTTTTTCAATCAAGGATTTGTAAAGATCGTGAATTTGCATGGTAAGCTGAAATCAAGCAAGAAGTTGGCATCAGAACTAAGTTTTGATTTCTGCATTGAATCTGTAGGTAAGCAAATGCTTTTCCTGTCATCTATTGTGTCTGACGTGACTATATCATATGTGAGTGGATTGCACTGAAAACATTTTTAAAGGCTAAAATATCATGAGATTTCCAATTGTTATGCAAACTTTGTCAGATTTCAGCATTCCTGATTGAAATCTCATAAGATCTCAGTCCAGAATTCTAAAATTATGTAAGATTTAGCAAGCATCTCCCTAAATTTTTAAATAATGAAAGTTATTTAATGCAGGGCAGTCTGTAGATGTTATTCAGAGGTTTTGCAGATAGAATGTCAGTTGGGACAACTTTACTGATAGATGATAAACAGTTATAAGATTCAAAGAAGCAAAGAAAGCATTAAGAAAGCCCTCTATATCCTCAAACACTTGCGTCTTTCTAACCAAGGGTCAGTCTTTAATGCTGCAATTTGTACAGTGGGAATATTCCTTCTGACTAACCTTTAAGATCCCTCTGCTATTCAAGGTGTGATCATTTGGAATTATAAATTCTCATTGATTGAAGGCAGATATATGATAATATGAGTGACACATCACTTACTGTGCTCCATTGCTTACTGTGCTTGAGAATTGTCCTTTAGCAGGGACAAATGAAAAATGAGTCTCAACAAGGAAAATGGGGTGTTTTTTCTATGTTGACTAATCATCAGCCAGTCGAAATTTAACAGAGTTTGATCTTCCCAGCTTTGGAAGTGTTACCCCAAATTCACTCATTCCACAGATTTGTTTCCATAGGTCTACCTTTCATTTGGATCTCTCACATACAATCAGTCAGTCTTACATTGTGTTTCTTCTCGCAGTGTGCCTCCAGGACAGTGTGTTGGCCTTCTGGAAACATGGGATGCAAGGCAAAAGTTTTAAGTCTGATGAAGTAAGTTTGGGCAAGAGTGTTGTTGATCATTGTTTTGCTATCCTCCTTACCCTTCAGTTAGCAAAGATGCCAGTCACAGAAAAAGGAACCCTGAACAACATAATCCCCCTTGTTGCTTCTAATCTGTACCTGAATAATTGTATTGGCTCAAAGACAGACATTAGACAGAGTGTGTTCTGTTGTGATACAAAGAGACCGGTGGGGGGGGGGGGGAGAGAAAGAATAGTCTACTAGGTAGTGATAAGAAGGCATTGTTTCCTCCTGCTCATGGGAATACCCAACATTTCATGGACCTGATTTAATGCAGTTTGCTTTGCATTTAGTCTGTTGAACTGACTAGGAATTCTTCATTCATACCATAGCTCAGCCATTTTGTTATTAACCAACTGGTACTCTTTTGACAATTTCTCCCAATTTGTGGCATGGAAATGCTACTGATCTATCTTATAATATTTTTATTATATAGATAATTGGTATAATGCTATTAAAGTGTCAAATGTTTGTATTGTCTCTCAGACTGGTTGAACTTGGGTAGAATCTGTTATTGGATTAAAAACATAGATATATTTCCGTGGATCAGTTTTGAGTAAGACCATAGTAGGATGCCCTATTTCTTCTCATGGGACCTAAATTTAATCCCTGTCAATTTCCATTTGAAAAAAACATTAAATGAGAGGAGAGATCCTTCTCTGGCTGAAAATTGGTCTAGCTAAGTTAGCTAGAGGTCCATCTAGTTGAATGGCAGCTTCCTAAATTGAATGGAAACTCTCAAAAGGTTGATCCTCTGCTGAACACAGTTTTGCCCCGTATCTGCAACACTATATATAAAAATCTCCCCTGCTGTATAAACCAATGTGACTTTTCTGAGCTGAGGAAGAATTGTATTACTAGGGTTTTTAATACATATTGTAAAAATGATGGTGCATATATTATTAAAAGTTGATAGTCCGTTTGAAACAATTCTAATTTGCCAACTGAATTAGGTTTGTTCTTTTCAAAATGGGAAAAGATGCTCTTCTGCCAGTTACTCACATTGTGTCCTTTTTTTGGTATTGTGCAGGTTACCCAGGAGATCTCTGATGAAACAAGGGTGTTCCGTTTACTGGGCTCTGACAGGTGAGCTGAGAAGAGCAGCCTGCAGCCCTTTCGCCTTTAAAAAGAAAACGCTACATTTAGAAAAATAATCATTGTCTCCCTGTGTTCTTCTTAAGGGGGTTCTTCTTCCACTGCCTTCCCCCACTTTTATACCAGTGTGTGGTCGCCAGGCAATTGCAGGTCCAAGGCATGGAATTCAGGCCTGGGTCACAGAACCGCCAGCAACCCACACCTGCCACGCCCCTGAACCTGTTTCCTTGCTGTCGCTGGGCTGCCGTCATTTTGGTTTTTAGTGACTGCGAGTGCGCAGTTCACTGTAAATTTTTCTGCACATGCGTGAAGAACAATTTACATTGAACAGCGCAAGCGAAGCGAGCGGATTGCGAACCGGTAATAAAACCGGCAGCAACTCATCCCTGCTTTGATTGATACGCAAACCTTTCACATAATCTCAGCCCTTGCAACTTTCAAGTAAAGCTCTGACAAACACAGCAGACACTCTGTAGTTTCAAGGCAAAAAGCCAAAATTCCAAGAAGATGAAGCTAGAAGGAAGAGAAAATACACCCACGGTAGAAGTAGCTTGAAAACTAGAGGCTATCTTCCATAAAGCGCTCTTCAGATTATATAATATTTTTTGCTGTTCAATCTGATTATTTCTATTTAAGGTTTCCCCCCCCCCTAAATTCACTTAATTTGGTGCCCCTGAATTCAAAGGTACACTATGCTACTATCATCATGTCAGAAATATCTTGAAACCTAAGGTAGTGTGATCACTTTCACACAAGGTCTCCCAGTATATTTAGTTTTTCAGTTAAGTTCTTCCTTGTATGTTAGGGTCCTGAAAGATAAAGCAGTCACAAAAGCTGAAAGGAAATTCGGGGACCTTGCAATTTTGGCTAAGATGCTTTTCCACAGTAAAAGCCTGATAGAAGAGAATATCTGTAGCTCAGAATTGAACTATGGGATCTTTGGTACTCTCTGAGCTTGATTTTCTTGCAGATGTTTCATTACCGCAACACTGATGATGTAACCTAGTTTGAAATACCTACAAGAAAACAACCAGGGTCAGAGAGAACCAAGGACCCTAAGGTTGAAGTCTCTCATTACTGTGCCTCTCTTACATGAAAGTTTTGTCATTTAGTCCAGGAAGGCATGATCCCTATCTTCTCCCTGGCTTGTCTATAGCATAACCTCACAACAATATCTTTGCTTTTTCCCCTACCTTGTATTCTTACTCAGTACCCTCATACTTAAAGTCCTGGTTCTCCATTAATACATGCTTCTCCTTCACCTATAATGTTGTTCTCCTCACCTTTGGCCTGTCCATTTCCATTTGAACCCTTAAAATTCTAGTCCCAAATTTCATCTGAACAGATTTCACTGTCTGTTAAATTATACTTACCTTCCTGCAGTAAGATTTTTAATTTTCCCTTTTTGTTTTCGGTACATTTTACATTTGCATAGAGATGCTCAAACCACATCCATTCACCCAAATAAATGTATAGATATAGAAAATATAGGATCTCCAAACACTACGTAGGAGTATGGTGTTCAAACCTCTTGAGTATCAGACTTCTTGATACTCTCAGGGACTGTAATGTTGGCTTCTTGTTTAAAGAATCCTAGATTCTGAGAGGATCCTGTGGGCTTCAATTCCATCTAACCTGTTCTGAGAGTACTTGGAGGGTTATAATATTGAGAAAAGGCAAAAGGTAAAAGTCTTGTAGTTTCAGGGGCTGCCACCCACATTTCTAAAGCAGAGGTGGGCAATTAATTTTCCCAAGGAGACACATGGAAAACTGGGACTGTTGTGGAGGTCTGAATCAATAGGGCTGGGAAGTCTCATAGGCATGCAAATATATACATTTTTTAAAGATGGTGGTTGCCTTCAAAACGAAAGCAATACAGTTGTATGGTGTGCATGGCTTAGGAGAGACTGGCCTATTCTACCTCCAGTGGTCTTAGGAGGGACCGGTTTATCACGTCTCTGACAGCCTGAGGAAGGCTACTTGCCTTCAAAAGAGGGAGAACGGGCCAGCCTGCCAGGTTCACCAAGGCAATTAACTTCCCCCTCATTGGTACTTCTGGTGGTAAAGCCCTATTTAATTTCCAGTTAACCTCTCACAAGCCAGATAGGGACAACCAAAGGGCCGAATATGGCCTGTGGGCTGTAAAATGCCCAGCTCTATCTTAAAGGAACGCTTCTGCATCATATCTGTATATCTACTGTGCATGGCATGATCGTGTAAGAAAACACGGGTGCCAAGATGCATGGGGAGGCAATTGGTGGGTTAGAAGTAGCCCAATAGGAAATGCTCAAGGAACAGCAGCCAGGATGTCTTCAGCAACTGCTGACTTACCCATTCTATGCTTGCTCCATAGGGTGGTGGTGCTGGAAAGCAGGCCGACTGATAATCCAACAGCACACAGCAATCTCTACATTTTGGCAGGCCACGAGAACAGCTACTAAGCAACCGTGAATTGACTTGAACTGTGAGCCAGCAATATGTTGCCTAAGGAAACCGCTCTTCATGGATCTCCTGTTCAAGACATATTATGAGGCACCCTTTCCCCCCCCTCTTCTTCCTCTGCCTTCACATTCTCCGATTGATGTCTGAACGGACTCTGTTTTTAGGATCAAGAGCCAAGCGTCGCACGTGTCTTGCAGCTGGGAAGCAGCTGTTCTCTCCCTTGCCACTGTGTGGTTGGTTATGTTGTTGGCTTAATAAAAGCTGTGAGATCATCAGTCCCTTCTATTTGTTAGGCCTACAGAAGCATGGATGTTGGAAAATCTCAAAACATAGTCAAAATGATTTGGGACAGGATTTCTTCATGCTCAGGTTCATGGCGTGGGCTGCTGATTTCATCATCTTTTGACAATACCTATTTTGGATACTGGGAGTTGAAGTCAACAGCAAAATAAGGAAAGGGGGGATGCCTGTGGGGCAGGACCCAGTGGAAATGAATTTCTCCTCTGTGAGGCCTTTGTGGGTTTTCTCTCATATGCCACCAAAACATCCCCGCGTCAGGGAAATCCTCAGCAGAGGTTCCCAGGAAGTTGTGTTTGTGTCTTTATTTTTTAACGCAACCGTTCTCTGATTTGTAAAGAAACACTATTTAATCTTTTATTTATTAATCTGCTGCTAGGGTGGTGATGTGATGCATTTTAACTTCCAGCACACGAAGGTTGCAGCGCAGCTTTTGGTTGTGGGTGGGTGGGTGGTTTGTTTTTGGGGTGTGTGTTTTTTTTAACAATTGTAAAAAAAACAACAGCAGCGTTCCTCTTGACCTTTTCTTAGATATAGGACATTGTGGAAGGGAGGTGTTTATATAGAGAGGATTTTAAAATTTAAAAAAGCCTTTTTTGCTATATAAAAGCAGTTTTGTACAAGAATCTTTTGTATGGGTTTGGCTTGTGGAATTGGTCACTAAAGATCATTTGGTATCGATTGAAATTATGTATGAAATGCAAGGTAAGTTTTAGAGAGGATCAATAAGAGTTTGGAAAATTGGCAAAAAGTATAAAATAGATAGAGGGCGAGTTATGCAGTACGTGTGTGTGTGTGTGTGATTGTGTGTTTGAGGAGGGAAGCCACATTCCATACATATGCCAGTTCTCATAAGCGTGTTGGAGGAACAGAGGTTTATCCGGATCTACAAGCATTCATGCTCCTGAGTCAGCTGTCAAAATGTGACACAGGTTTGTCCTCCACTGGTCACCAATGGCTGAGAGAGACTGGGGTCCCTCTAGGTGTTGACTAGCCATTTGCGAGGGGTGCCTGTGCTTTGCCCCCAAAGTGTGTCTTATTGGAAAAATATAAAAGCTTTTCCCCACAGCAACCTTCCTAATGTGCCCCAATGTCAAACTAGAGATTCAGAATGCCCTGGACTGGATAAACCTTTCTAAACATAATGCCCCTGCATGTTTCAAGGAGTTTTTAAATGCTTTAATTTGTTCATGGACACTTATTTTATTTATACTATGCCAGAATGAAGTTGGATGAAATGCAGTGCCTAGGAAAAATGAAATATTTCTTTCAACTTGGGCACATTTGAGTGGTAGGTTTATTTCTTGGTGGTATGGTATAAATATATATATAAGAAGCAGTATTGTCTAATAAACCTTGGGAAATCTTATTTTCTCCATTATCTTTTGTTCAAGGCTGTCATCCATGTTGTTTCCTTTTTTGTTTTCCCAATTAAACTATCCCCATTAAACTATGTCTGTGTTTATTAAAGGGACAAACATGGTTTTGTGCATATGAAAGAGATTGAAGGACAGTTACTTTAGTAAGTTGTCCATTTTTACTCCTAAGAAAAAACTCCTTTTGTTTATATCACAAAACAGATTGAAATGTACTTTGTTTTCCAACTAGCAGAGCCCTCACAGTTTGAAACAGTGTCCATCTTGTGGGTACAACGTATCTTGGCCCTACACATTTTCTATTTGAAGGGTAGCAGACAATTATACTTAATTTCACTCAGAAGCATCTCTGCTCTTATTAAAGGGTGCGTGTGTGTCCATGTCTTTCCACAAAGATAAATTTCTCAATTTTGGACACAACATGCTCTGAATTCCCATTTCGGGAAGAGCCCAGGAGATCCAATCTGTAATAGGATGAGTTGCATGTATCGGCTTATATTTGAATCTCTGCTTTGTTGAGAATCTCAGGAATCTAATCTCAGGCCAGGCTCTTTCAATCTTTAATATTCTTTAGGTAAGTAAGCATAAAATCACACGTGCTTCCTGAACCATTAGGAGGGAGAACAGGATTCAGGTGAGTTGTTCAATAACTATCATATTGAAATTGGCAAGAGACATTTCTATTCTACTTTGTAATTAATTGTACACTCTGGAAAGTAAGTATAATGGGTGAATGAAGGCATCATGGATGAGGGTATTCATTAATGATTGCCATTAACAGCCATTATGTAGGACATACAGAAAACTGACAGAGCGCGTCTTGAGCACCAACTAGTGGTTGGAAGACATCATTTCACAACATATGGATAGGCTCAACCATAGTTTCAATTGGGAAACTGACCATCTTAGACCTAAGCCAAGTTCAAAAACGCTAGGAAATTTCTAGAAGCCTGGCACTCCAACATATTAGCCATCAATAGATACATAGACATAAACAACATCTACATATGATGCAAAACAGACAATCTACAAACTAAAAAGGGAACAAAAACAACACCTCCCCACCAGCAATTGGCACACAGATGAGCATAGATTAACTGCAAGATTAATATTGGACCAACAATCAAGCAAATGAACTGCCAAACAAACAGTTAACAGCCTAAAGAACTTCTAAGACCATCCCCTAAGACTAGAATATAAACTGAGTAAACCCCACTCCTTACTAGCACTGACTCTGTTACCTAGTTTGGGTAATGAACCTGCAAGAAAACAACCAAGCTCAGAGAGCACCAAGGACCCCCTCATATAAATAGGGTTTGCAGCAGGAATTAGGTGTATAAGCTGCCATTTTGAGGGGTAACAAGTGATCTCTGGAGATAAGATAAGGTTGTAAAGGGAGGGAAAGTAAAAGGGGGGGTCTACTTTCAATTAATATTTGGTTAAGATACTCAACAGAACTGAAATTGGGACTGTTTTTTACCAAGACTGCAAGACTAGACAGATCAATGGTTGCCATGTTGATCAGTAGTTCAGCTAATTTCCCAGAAGTATCTGCATTGCTCCAGATACTTGCGTGCAAAAATGAATTGGTTTCATGGGCATAAAGGGGCTGGAGGGGGTAGGACATCACCACACAAGTAGCACAGATGACACCATTTGCACAAGAATGTTATGTGATTTCATCATGGCTTTTCATGGATGCAGTAATATTTTCATAAATTAGCCTCTGATTTGTCTCAGTGTCACTGTGGAATTGGGCAACCTGGAAAATTGGAATATTAAAACTTTGTTTTGGAGATATACTTGAAAGAAGAAGATTCTAGGTTGCAAGATGAGGGCTTTAAAAGGACAGTAAAAACGAAGCATCCTCTCCATAAAGAATTTGGATTGCTGACATTTGCTGGGTTCACAGAAGCCAATCACTTTCTCAGGTCAATACACCTTACAGGGTGGTGATTGTGATGGGAAATAAAAGAAAGCAGCATTAGGTATAGTTGCTGCTTTGAATTATTTATAAAATAATAAAGCCTGCATATTTTTTTTAAAGCCTGTAAGTGTTAAGAAACATAAGTGTGCCCAAACAAAGCACATTCCATTATGGCTGACTATAGTAGCCTGATGATTCAGTAAAATGAACTACAAATTACCTATTCCTATTTTAAACAGGATTAAAATGACTAAACCCAGCCACTGGTGGTCAAAGTCCTATTCAGTTAGGAAATTTGCTGGAAGTTCCAGGCTTGTGGTTAACGGATTCAGACATTCATGCATGCTATTATTTAACATAATGCAAGCAAGATTTAGCAGTTTCATGGTTTACTCAACCTAATTTGCTGGGTTTATGTGACACTGGCTGATAAACTACATGGGCTGGATTCACAATGGAAGCTACAATAAGCCATTATTGGCTTGTTTCTTGATAAGTGGATGGTAAAAGTCAATTTACTACTGTGTCATGTCTTCCATAGCAAAGCTCTTTATTAATAGGTTCGAAGCTATCAATCCAAAATCCTAATCTCACTTTGCTTTCCATTCGATTTTCAAACCACAGATTACTTGTTCCTAGTTTAGTCAACTATGTTGTGTGATTTTATCCCTGTGGTTAGTTGATGGATGTGTGCGAAAGCGGACACAGAAAATACATTAACCGCGGGGAGGCTTATGAACGCTGGCTTCTCCCGTTGCTTTTATACGCGCGATGGGGTCTGGGCAGTGGATTATCTTTTAAATTTGAGATTTTAAGAAATTAAGTTTTAATTTTAACTTTTAAATTTGAGATTCCCTTTTTAGTTTGCAATGGAAGGAACGCAAAGAAATGCGTGTTGTTTATTTTTAATCATACAGTATTTTGAACTTCTCTGGATAACAAAGAGAAAAAGTTCAGCGCGTTTTAGTAAAAAAGGGGGGAAATGCGTCACTCCGCAACAAAATGTATCGAACGTTAAAGGCTTCAAAATGGAGCAAATCCCTGTTCCTGCGTGGACCTCTAAGCGCCTCCACGAAGCAATGCCGCCCTTCTGCGTTGTCCTCTCCCGTGACAAGACGGAGCCACGACAGACCGTCCAGCTTGTTGTTCGGATGGCTGGGCTGTCACCTTCGGTCGCCGAAAACGCACGTCTCCGGCCTCCTCCTGCCCACGGTCCACCTCCAGGAGGCGGGCAGTGGCGAGAGACCGTCGCCTTCCCGCACCGCCTCCCCGCCCCCCCCCCTCACTCTCGCCCGGGGGCCGCCCTGACTGGCAGCCACTTCAGCGTCTGCGGGAGTGGCGCGTGAAGGAATCGCGTCTGCGAAGCCACATTTGCCCCCAGCGCGCAGCAGGCGAGAGAAGCGGGCAGCAGCTGCCGGGAAGCCATCGCCGGTCGCCCGGTCGGCATGAAAGCGAAGTCCCGCACCGAGGGTGAGAACTGCTGGGTGGGAATCCTATCGCTCCCGGCGCAGGGCAGCGGTCTCTAGAGCACAGGGAAAGTGCGCCTTGCTCGAGCAAGGACTGCGCGGCGCAGGAGTTCCTTCTCGTCTGCGAGTTGAGAGGAACGCGCGCTTTTCTGTGGGGAATTAGATTAAGTCCCTGCACACTTGCAGGGCTAATGGAAGGGAGGGTACTTCTGAGGGTGTGCAGAGGGCACTTTAATTGGGGAGTGGGGGAAGGAGGGGGCATACCTGGTCCCTCAAGTGGGCTTTTTCCTCCTGTGGGAAAAAAAACCGTCTGAATTGCCTCTGAGACGGCAACATTCGCCTGTGCAGTTGCTCCCCACCCCACATGCCTGTCAGTATGTCCTGAGCATGCTGGAGCCTCTCATTTCTCCTTTTATCCCAAACGGGATACTTGCAGGCCTGAGGGAAACTCTACCAAGTTTGGGTTGGTGAGGGTGGAGGGCACACCCCCAAGTCATCCTTAGGACCCTATCTGGGACCATCCCCACTGTGCCCTTCTCACGCACCTGCTGGCACCATTGTCCTCGGGGAGTTTTTCTTTTGCAGGCAGGCGAGATGAGGAAGGGGGAAGCCAAAGCTGGGCCTTGTCCCTTGCCTTCCCTCCTGTCCCTTCCTTCCTTCAGCAGGTGTGTGTTTTGCTGCTTGATGGGCTTGCCCAGCTGGCTGCACCTCCCTGGCAACCTGCCTTTGCCTAAAGGTGATGAATTAAAATTTAATTTACAGATGGGCCTTTTGCATGGGGAAAGTGGTCTGAAGACGCAGAGGCCACTGGAGCCTTCCAGCAATCCGGTTTCAGATTGCACAAGAGGCGCTAGTATCCATCACTTCGGTGCAGAGAGCACCTTTCAATTCTCGCCCTCTTTTTTCCTCCGTGTTTCTAAATTCACGACTGTGCTAGATTTTACACTGTGCAGATTGTGCTCCTTTCTTTTTAGACAAGGGGGTCCTTTCAGTATAGGGCATTCATACAATTTGTTGTTAGGAAGGTTGCATGCTTGCAATACCACAGTGGTGTTGGAATCATCACAAAATGTCCATTTGCCATGGAGGAAGCTGAGGAGCTTGATCCCTCTCACCCCCTCTTACCCTTCAGAATAATCCCACGTCAGCATGCACTACTCCAAATACTAGCCTGCAGCCCCCAACCATTTTCATTTTCTAAGAATGTCTATGTGGGGCCCAGAGATATATTGGTAAAGGAAGAAAACACTAGACTTGTGCTTTGCTTTGCAGCACGCTCACATCTCTGTTTGAGTTTAAAGACTTTAATAATAAAAATTGTTTGGTAGGGCAGGGAGCTTGGCAGGCATCCAGGGGCACCTGTGAGCCCTCAGGCATCGCGTTGGAGATCCAGAAGCCTTAAAGAATAACATAATCTTGGAAATAACTTTTTTTGTTCTAAGGAGCTTAACGTCTAAATTCGAATTTGAACTCTACATTTGAATGTAGAGATGATCAGATCTGAATAGAGGAGTGGAGGTAAAGAGAACACAGGGGAGGAGAAAATAGGATGGGGAAAGTATGCATAAATACAATCAGATAGCCTTAATGTGGTTGCTGTGGCAGAAATCCAAAAGGTTAAGCAATAGATTTAAAAAAAAGTTTAAAACCCCTGGCTTTTGAGGTGAAATGTGACTAAGGGGGAAAAAGGGGCTGAGCAGAAGTTCCAGGAGTTCCAGGTGTTGAGGACAGTGTGAAAGGCAAAGGTTGCAGGAATTACAGAAATGTATGGTGTTAAGAAAGATAGTGATGACTATAGCTAGTCATGTCCCAAGGATAGTCCCAAGGCTACGGCTACTCCTTGACTTATGACCACAACTAGTCCCTGACTTATGACCACAATTAAAATTTATGTGGCTAAGTGGGGCAGATGTTAAGTGGGGTCAATTTATAACCTCACTTTATAACCTTGTTGCTGTGGTCATTAAGTGAATCACCACAGTTGTTAAGTGAATACACAGTTGTTAAGTGAATCTGGCTTCCCTATTGATTTTGCTTCTTGAAAGCCTACTAGGAAAGTCAATAATGATGAATGTGGGACTCCGGGACACTGCAACCAATATAAATACATGCCAGTTACCAAGCGCCCAAATGTACCAGTTATAAGTGCAAGGACTGTTGTAAGTCACTTTTTTTCAGCACCATTGTAACTTCAAACAGTCACTAAATGAAAGGTTGTAAGTCGAGGACTATCTGTATTTGATATGTTTTGTGGCAGATCTAGAAAGTTTTATCCTGATATTTATCCTTAAATTTCTATATCACCATTTTTGTTATTAAAAAGAATCTCAAAATGGGTTATAAGTCATTACAAACAATTAAATTTAAATTATCATCATCATCTTAAAAAAATGTAAATAACTTTTAATCACTATTAAATATGGTACAGAAAAGTACTGTGGTTCCAATTGGCGCAGTGGTTAAATGAAGCACTGCAGGCTACTTCAGCTGACTGCAGTTCTGCAGTTCTGCTGTTCAAATCTCACCGGCTCAGGGTTGACTCAGCCTTCCATCTTTCCGAGGTGGGTAAAATGAGAACCCGGATTGCTGTTGGGGGCAATATGCTGACTCTGTAAACCGCTTAGAGGGGGCTGAAAGCCCTATGAAGCGGTATATAAGTCTAACTGCTATTGCTATTAATAGCTGTTATTGCTATTGCTAAAGTCTGAAAAGGAGCACTTTAAAAGAAGTTCAGTTTCAACTGTTAACTAAGCAGGTATAGATTCTGCAATGGAGGTTTTAGTACTGGAAATGCCTTCATTCAGGTCATTATATTATGAATTGAGCAACTTCCAAGAGACATCTTCTGTAGATCTTTTGTAGCTGATGGACAACTACCAAAGGAGATATCCAGATCCCAAAGGTATCCAGGTCCCAAATTTATCAGATGCTGTGTGAGATTGCAAGTACTGTAGAGATAAATCTAATTAAGAGAAAATTAAAGGCTTCCTGAACTCATGCTTGGCCCATGGGATCTACATTAATATCTCCAGGTCCTCTGCACCAACTACAGAAATAGTTTCCCACTGACTTTTCCTGGGTGGTTTCTTCAGCTTCCCAGCACACCTTGCTTTCCTGGGCTTTTCTGCAGGCTTTCTATCCAGACCTGACTCTGCTTCATTTTTTTCAAAGTCATCCAAGATTGAACAGGTCCTATCAAGGCAATGACTAATTAGCTGAGTGAAAAAAAATAAAGGTGAAGGGTCAGTTTATACATCACATTAATTCATAATATGTTTGCTGGTTTTAGAAATCCAATGAAATGTGGGTGCTGCCATGTTAAATAGAAACTTTTCCAGAACAAACCACACTGTAATTTCAATCATTCCAGCTCATTTCAGTGGAACTGGTGGAGAAAAACTTCATTAAGTTCTATTTAACTTTTTTCTAGCAAGAGGTTTTGGGAGCCTGCCCAGTGCTGTAGGGTAAATAGCAAGGTATTTCAAGCAACAGTGATGAAGCCACTTAAAAAGAAGTCTTATTTTTTAAAAAAATCCAATCTCTCCTGCTGGATTATCAGGGGTGGGGGTTACTAAAGGGGGTTACTAAAGACTAGTGCATTCTTTGAAACAAAGTAAATATAGACTCGGATTGCTTGGTCCATTAAAGAATCAGTATGGTGTGGTTATGTTCCATGGATTCTATAGCTACTAACTGTGGCTGCAACCATATTTTTTACATTTGTCTTTACAGGTTTAAGATGATTGTGATCTTTTGCAACTTTTGAATTATTTAGATCCTCAAGGGAGACTCACCAGGTCTCGCTGACAGTGGATAACATCTTCGGAGATTCCTTTCTATTAGCAATGGAGAAATATGAAAAAATCAGTAAGATTGGGGAAGGCTCCTATGGGATTGTTTTCAAATGCCGGAACAAAGACACGGGGCAAATTGTTGCTATCAAAAAGTTCCTGGAATCTGAGGATGATCCTGTTATTAAAAAAATTGCACTTCGAGAGATTCGGATGTTAAAGGTAATGAACTGGAATCTGCTGATCAGAAACTTATTTGATTAAGGCTGTATGTGCTTTTCTATACATTTATTGTTTTTTCCCCCCTGTAACTAATCCAATGGCCCATTTTATCTGAGCATCACTGTGCCTTTTATATTGCAAATATACTGTTGGATGCCTGCCTAAGAGTCGTCCAGCTTTTGGAAGCTTATCTTTAAAATGTATTTCATGGATCATTAACTATACATAAAGTACATGGATTATTCATTTGATGATAGATAGCTCTGATAAAAAGCCATGAGAAGCAGTGGAAAGAGTGGATATAAATAAGATTATTTATTTCCTCAATTTAAATATCATATGTTATAGATTTAGAATGAACATATTTTAACAATAGTGATTTTCATTGTTGTATTCTATTCTGTTTGAGGACTTTTAATCCTACAAGACTGATAAGTCTCTAATGTAGACTTGATTAATTGTGATTAGAATAGTAGAAAGCTGTTTTATTCTTTTCAAGCTTCTTGTGGTACCTAGATTCGGGCCTCCTAAATCAATTTATGTAAATTCTTTACCACATATACTCTCTCATAGGTTCCAATCAGTTTACAATGAATTTTTATCATATCTGTCTCTGAGAGGTTCACAGCCTAAGAGTTATCTTAGGAAGAGAGTATTTGGCATTCAATGTATGTATTAAACACTTGTCCGTATGTCTCCCTTGAAAGATTTTCTGATGGTATGAGGGCCAGGGAATTTTTTTAAGAAAAACTTCTTACACACTGTCATTCTGATACTAGGCCTAAATATATTCCATTCCAAATGAAGCAAAACAGCATGTCAAGATAACCCCAATTGTGTAAGAGGAAAAAAACCTGCATTTTATAATTGATGAGGTCTTAGTTTTCTTGGGTTTATTCTTCTGGTTAACCTATATGTCATTTGTGGACAAACTTTAGCACCAGTGGGCCACAGTTCAATCCTCCTGCTGTTCCTAATAGTAACATAATTTGTTCTTATATGTTGATTTTTCAGTTTATATAGCCACCCATTTTACAACAACTCTGGACAACTAACACAACTTCAAGCATTAAATATAAATGATTACAAATTTACAATTTAAAAAAGCATATAAAAGAAGACCTTCAACTGCCCACCATTAGTATTAATTACTATAATCATTGGTATTGTAGCTTGTATTATTATTTTTAGCAGAGAAAGCATATGGAAGGAACAAGGCACTGTAAAAATAGCAGGGACTCAATTTCTGCAGTAGTTTTCCTGCTAATATTTGGATGCATATTTTTGTTTTCTCCAATAGATAATGGACAATCTCTCCTCTGTTCTCCAGCAATTTATCTCTGACTTTTGGTGGGGCAGCTCATGGGTGCAAAGAGGGGCTTAGAAGATAATCATCTTATGGATTGCCTGTTGTTATCTTTATTTGTTACCTCTGTCTTCTCTGCATTGTGCTATCTCACCAGCCATTTTCCTGATTATTTAAACTCTATTTCTGGAACAAGGAAGGGGAAGAAAAATTTAAACGAAAACTGATATTCTTACAGGAACTTATGAAGCATCTTTTGTCTAGTTAGCATTTGCACAAAATAATAAGTTAGAGTTTCTAGGAATTAATGGGCATGAATCATCCTTCCTAGCTGAAAAGAATTATCCATGCATTACTTTACACAATGTAAATTGTTTTACATCAGCTTTGCCAGACTGAGTTACTTGATATATGTACATTAAGAATATAATGATTACATTGGTTGAGGACAGTGGGAGTTGTAGTCTGCCACACCTACAGAGTTCTGGCTTGACAAAGGTTGCTCTAGAACTAATCACACAATCTTTTAGGCCAGTGCATATATTTAGAATTTTGAGAACGTATCTCAGACGCCCTTAGAATATACTGTTGTAGGAAAGACCAATCACAAATATTGATTTAGGAGAAAGTAACTTTAACATTGTACTACC